TATTTAAAAAGCAATTGTATAAAACAATATGTATATAATTGTATTGCTGGATCTATAACATACAGAAATGTAATTATAACAGTTGTAAGCATATATATACTCAATAACAGAGCCAACAAAATACATGACCCTGAAACTGACAAAAGTAAAGGGAAAAATGACAATTTGACAATAATAGTTGGAGACTTAAATGTCCACATTCAGTAATAGATAGAGCAAATAGAAGATCAGTAAAGAAACAGAAGACCTGAACAAAACCACAGAAGAATTAGACCCAACAGACATCGCATTCTTCTCAAGCAGAATACGCATTCTTCTCAAGCACACACGGAATATTCCCCAGCACGGACCACATGCTAGCTCATAAGACAAGCCTCAACAAATTTAGAAGGGTTGAAATCATAAAAAGTATTATCTCTAATGAAACTGAAAATTAATAACAGAAAAATCTGAGAAATTCACAAATATGTGGAAATTAAACAACCCATGCTAAATAATCAATGGGCCAAAGAAGAAATCATAAGGGAAATCAGAAAACACGTCAAGATAAATTTAAAAAGCACACAACATACCAAAACTTATGGGAAGTAGCAAAGCAGTGATGAGAGGGAAATTTGTAGCTGTAAATGCCTCTAGCGAAAAAGAAGAAAGATTTCAAATCAATAACCTAACCATCCACCAACTAAGACACTGGAAAAAAAAGCAAACTAAACCCAAAGCAAGCAGAAGGAAGGACATAATAAAAATTAAAGTAGCAAGAAATGATATAGAGAATAGAAAAACAATGGAGAAAATCAACAAAACCAAAAATTGGTTCTTTGGAAAGATCAACAAAATTGAGAAAACTTTAGTTATACTAATCAAGAAAAAGAGAACACTCAAATTACTAAAATCAGGAATGAAAAAGCAAACATTACCACCAACAGTACAGAAATTAAAAAAAGAATTATAATGCCATGAACAACTGTACCCCAATAATTTAGATAACTTAGATGAAATGAAAAAATTCCAAGAGGGCCGGCCCCGTGGCTTAGCGGTTAAGTGCGCGCGCTCCGATGCTGGCGGCCAGGGTTCGGATCCCGGGCGCGCACCGATGCACTGCTTCTCCGGCCATGCTGAGGCCGTGTCCCACGTACAGCAACTAGAAGGATGTGCAACTATGACATACAACTATCTGCTGGGGCTTTGGGGGAAGTAAATAAATAAATAAATAAATGTAAAAACATAAGTGTGTTCTTTAAAAAAAAAAAAAAAAAAATTCCAAGAAAGACACAAACCACTGAAACTGACTCAAGAAAATCTGAAAAGATCTATAACAAATAAAAAGATTGAATTCATAATCAAAAAACTACCCACAAAGAAAAGCACAAGACCAATGGCTTCACTGGTGAATTTTACCAGATTTTTAAAGAAAAATTAATACCAAGTCTTCATAAACTCTTCCAATAATTAGAAGAGAGAACACTTCACAACTCATTTTATGAAGCCATTATTACCTTGATACCAAAACTAAGACATAACAAGAAAGGAAAGCTAGAGATCAATATCTTTTTGAATACAGACACAAAAATCCTCAAAAAATTCCAGCAAATTGAATCCAGTAATATATAAAAATAATCATGACCAAGAAGGATTTATCCCAGAAATGCAACGTTGGTTTAACATCTGAAAATCAATTAATGTCATACACTACATCAACAGAATAAAGGAAAAAAATCACATATCATCTCAATAGATGCAGAAAAAGCCCTTGAGAAAATTCAAAACCTCTCCACAATAAAAACACTCAACAAACTAGGAATAGCAGTAACTCCCCCAGCCTGATAAACAGCATCTGCAAAAAACACACAGCTAATGTCATACTGAACAGTGAAAGACTGAATGTTTTCCACCCCAAGATCAGAAACAAGACAAGGATGTTTGCTCTCGCCACTTTTATGCAACATGTACTAGAGTTCTAGCTGGGTAATTAGGCAAGAAAATGAAATAAAAAGGCATCCAGATTGAAAAAGAAGAAGTAAAATTAACTCTATTTGCAGATGACATGACCTATATAGAATAATGTTAGGAATCCAATAAAACTATCAGAACAAATGAGTTCAGCAAGAGCACAGGATACAAAATCAATATACAAAAATAGACTGTATACAGTAGCAATGATCAAACCAAACATGAAATCAAGAAAACAGTTCCATTTATAATAGCACCAAAAAGAAAAAATACTTAGGAATAAATTTAACAAAAGAGGTCCAAGACTTTTACACAGATGCATTCAACTACAAAACATTGTTGAAAGAAATTAAGGACCAAATTAAATGGAAAGACATCGCATGTTCATGGATCAGGAGACATAATGGTGTTAATATTATAATATTTTCCAAATTGATCTAAAGAGTCAATACAATCTCTACTAAAATTCCAGTTGATTTCTTTGTAGAAATTGGTATGCTAATACTAAAATATGGAGTTGGAAGGGACTCAGAATAGCCCTTGAAAAGGAAGAACAATCTTAAAAAAGAAGAACAAAGTTGCAGGACTCACACTTTCAGATTTCAAAACTTACTACAAAGCTATAGAAATCAAAACAGTGTGGAACTGGCATACAGACAGACATATAGACCAACAGAAGAGAACAAAGAGCACAGAAATAAACCCTTGCATATAGGGTCAAATGATTTTCTACAAGGGTGCATTAAATGGGCGAAAGAACAGTCTTTCCAACAAATGGTGCTGGGACAAGTGGATACCAACAGGCAAAAGAATCAAGTTGGACTCTTACTTCACATCATATACAAAACTTAACTCAAATGAATCAAAGATCTATATGTAAGAGTTAAAACTATAAAACTCTTAGAAGAATACACAGGTGTAAATCACAGTGACCTTGGATTAGGCAATAGTTTCTTAGATATGACACCAAAAGCAAAAGCAACAAAAGAAAAAATAGATAAACTGGACATTAAAATTAAAAACTTTTGTGCTTCAAAGGACACCACCAAGAAAGTGTAAAGCAAATACACAGAATGGGAAAAAAATTTTTGCAAATTATATCTGATAAGAGACTTGTATTGAGAATACAAAAACGTCTTAAAACTTAATAATAAAAAGACAAGCCAGTTTAACAATGGCAAAGAATCTGAATAGACGTACACAAATGGCCAATAAACACATGAAAAGATGTGCAACATCATTAGCCACCAGGGAAATGAATATCACAACCACAATGAGATACCATTTCATACCTACAAGGATGGCTGTAATAAAAAAGACAGATAAGTGTTGGCCAAGCATGTAGAGGAACCGGAATCCTCATATGCTACTTGCAGGAATGTAAAATGGTACAGCCAATTTGGAAAACAGTTTGGCAGATCCTCCAATAGTTAAATATATAGATAGCATATGACCCAGCAATTTCAGTTTTAGCTATCTACCCAACAGAATGAAAACTTTCATCCCCATTGAAACTTGTACATAAACATTTACAGCAGCATTATTCAAATAGTCAAAAGATAGAAACAACCCAAATGTCCATTAACTGATGAACGGGTTTACAAAATACTGTATGTGTATATGAGACAATATTATTCAGCCATGAAAGGAAATGAAGTCTGACACATACTACAACATGGATGAATCCTGAAAATATTTATGCTAAGTAAAAGAAGTCAGTCACACAAGACCATATATTACATGGTTCCTTTATAAGAAATGTCCAGAACAGGTGATTTTATAGAGACAGAAAACAAATTAGTGGTTGCTTAGGTCTGGGGCCGGGTGGGGGTGGGGGGGCGGAGCATAGTGGTGGGGAGAGAAGGCAACGGAAGAGGCGCCGGCATAGGTAGGTGACAGGTCATGGATACGGGTTTCTTTCTGAGGTGATGAAAATGTTCTACAATTGACTGTGGTGATGGATGCAACACTGTATAAACAAACAGCCACTGACTTGTATAATTTACATAAGTGAACTGTTTCATATGTGAATTAATCTCAAAAAAGCTGTTTAAAGAAAGGCAGAAGTGAAATATTTTCAGAGGAACAAGAGCTGAAAGAATTTTTTGCAACAGATCTTCAAAAACCATGAAGGGTCTGAAATTTTACCTATTTGCAATCTACCAAGTTAGCTTTCAACATTTTCATGGATGTTGGTAAAGACAAGACGCCTCATCAGAGAAAAAATATTTTATTACTCACAGTAGTAGCAACTGTCAGAGTATCAGCATTTGCTTGTAGCAGTTACCTGAACCCCAATTCCTACAAGGCAATCTATCAAGAGGGCCAGGTGAAAACTGCCCATGCAGTGGGTTGCATTACGAGAGAGGAACCCTCAGCTTGGGGAACTGAAATCTTTCTAATGGTCAGTTAGTATGCCTGTCCTATCTGTATCACCGAAAGCTAAAAGCAAACTTACCCTAAAGTCTAAAGGGAGACACTATCTTTGTCTCCAAGACTGTTTGCTATACCAACATTATTGAAAAGATAGAGCAAATGCAGTCAGAATCTCTTCTCCCAAGACATAGAGAAATGCAAGAGATCCCTCGAGAATTGTCTCCCAACAACATCCACCCTTGTTTCTACACTGTCTTGGCTTCTGGCAAATTTCCCTCTGAGTATGCCACTCCATCAGCCACTCGGATCAATTTGACCAACAGAGCTTGGACCAAATCCATTCAATTTGTTTTATATAACGTTTATTTAAAGCTACTATCAACAGGACTCTAAGCATCCGGATGAGCCACCCTGCAATCTTGTCCTTAACCACGCCTCCCAGTGTCCTGGAGCAAGCTGGCTGAACAAATCCCATACACCACCAGGGTCTATCTCAGAAAGCCAGACTGCTTTCTCTTTAAGTTTCTGAACTGACTTTTCCTCTTGCTCTGGGGCATTAATACAGGTACAACAAGATGCATTAGTAATTGCATGAACTCTGCCTTGGCCCACAAGGAGGAAATCCAGAGCAATTCTATCATCTATGAAACCCCGGCCAGTGAGTTGAGGCTGACCTGAATATCTTCCAGGGCTGAGGTGTTTTCATTGCTCAGTTTAGAGAAAGTCAGAGGCAAACTGCCCACCACCTTTTCTATGGCTCTCGTAATAGGGCTAACTGCCTGCAGGATGTATATACACAGAAGTCAATTACCCCTCCAGGACTTGCCCTGAGTAATCAAGAGTAGCGTCATTTTGGAGAGATCTCCGTAGTCTTGTGAGGGCTACATGACCTACTGGTTGTTTTTCCTTAAACACTTTAAAGTCTTCAATGACTGCCTTTAAGATGCAAGTCATCATGTTTGTCGGGGGGAGACCTGTTAACATCTGGCTTTTATACAAGTACTGTCCCCATGGTGCACATGTTGGTCCTGGAAAGCATTGTTTACAATTAGTGGGGTTCCCCTAAGTAAGTAGGCCCTCTATCATGGGGACACAGGTCAACAGTGTCTCCAAAACAGCTTTCCAGCTGGCTATAGATCTTAAAGTCTACAGCTCAGTTCAAATAATTGTCTTGTCCTTGTGTTTGGAGAGACTGTCTAAGAGCAGTCAGTCCAACCTGTCCAGTTTGTCCACCCAAACAGCCAGGTGGCATTCATCTGCACCATGGAATGACAGTGACGGCTATGAGAATGGGGGTGGACAGATATCTGGAGGTGATAACAGGTGTTTTGTGTGGCTAGTGCAGGAGCTGGAGCCATCCTGTGCTGCTTCTGATAGCAGTATGGTTACAAGCAATGCACCAAATCGTCATCAGAGTGCTCTGGCCAGGGATGGCAGGTCCAAAAGTCACATTTAAGGCCCTTGCAAAAATTTGGGAGAACCACACCAAGGCTTTTTCATGACTGAGGAAGACTCTAGGAGTGGTATTAAACGAAAAGCATCATTAATGTCCCTCCCTTCCTCGTACCTTCTGAGAGGTGTAAAGTGTTCCCTCCTGAGGTGCCAGCACTGGCCCCCTACCTCTATCACCACAAAACTGGTGTTCCCATTACAGCAGCTACTTTCACCTGTTTACCATTCATACCCAACCCACACCCAGACCTTTATCAAGAAAGGGCCAGGTGCAAGAGAGATGAGGGCATTTTTTATGCAGCTTACATAGATCTACTACGTCTTCCACTTTGGCCAACATAGGCCCTGCAGGGAACTCAGCGAGCAGCAGTACTGAACGAAGTGATCATTACTCTAACAATCTAGGCCTCTACCAGTAAGAGAATTCAGGTGGCTAGAGTAGAATTAAATTTGAATTTTTCCCTAAGCCCCCATTGGATGGGCTGTTACCCAGAGGAAACCAAAAAAGGCTGGGGTTGCTGTTAGGGAAAAAAAGATACTCAGGAATGATCAGGATGGAATCCAGAATTTTCAAAATAGGTATATACAAAATCTTTCACAACTTGTGTCCTAATCACAACACAGGAAGCAGCCGAGAGGAAATGACCCCTTCTTGGGGAGAGCTGCATCCAGTGACCAAACTGCCTTACTACATGTAGACTAGGAGGGGTGAGAGAGAGAGAGAGGGTCAGAAACTTTTTGGCATGGATTTCCAAGAAGGCTATTCCAATGCTGCATGCTGCCATATGCCTGTGGATGGTAGGGAACATGGAAGTCCACTGAACACCTTAACCATAAGTCTATTACTAATAAGTGGCACTTAGGAAAAAGGCGCACCACTGTCAGACTGCAAATGGTCTGGGGAGCTGAAAACATGGCACAGACTAGTTTCAGGGGCCACCACAGCACAGCCAGAGCTGGCTGGTCAAACTGGAACAGTAACACTGTAGCCTGAAAAAGTGTCAACAGCGGGGAAACACCCCTGTTAGCACTGAGTAAGGCCCACAGGTCCCATATAATCAACCTGCCAGGGAGCAGGCGGGGCAAGAGCCCATGTGATGTGGTTCCCCACTATTCAGGAAACCAGGTAAATTTTTGGCAGGAATCATAAGTTGGACATGCAGTGGTCACCTGTGCACCAGAAACATGAAGGCCTTTACTTGAGTCCCGTCTATGATGGTGGATGTGTTGCCATGTCCAGTACAATGATGAATCCAGGCAGCAAGGGTGACAGTCTGGATGGTGCAGGCTCAATCAGCAGCTTGATTCCAGTCCGTCTCATCAGAGAGCAGGTCTTTAACAGGGGCATCTACACGAGTGATTCAGAACACTCTAGTTTTTCAAGTGCAGACCAAAAGCTAGACAAATGCCCAAGAGTCTGTACAAATCTCACAAGGTTCATCAAAGGGAGTACTGACCAGAGCCATGAGCACTGCCTTGAATTCTGCCCAACGAGCAGAGCAACCAGGTTGTGGACAGCTGGTGACAAGGCTGAACCGCAGCAACAGCAGCAGCAGCAGCATCTGAGTAGACACCATCAGTTTTCAGCTTAACTGAACCATTAGCGAACCAGGCCCAGGCATTTTGGTGGAACTCTGTGAATCAAGGCCCCAGTGAAACAGCGGCTTTGCTTAGGAGAAAGGGGTGGGAAATACAGATTCCTCCCACTTTTCCACATAAAGCCAAGATGCAACTGGGGCCAGGCATCTAGTTTTTCCATTTCCATATGGCATTCCCGTTTAACAACCCAGGCTTGTTGGGCCCTTCCCATCATGTTAGTCACTGATTCCAAATTCATCACTCCAAAATGGGAATATCAGGCCTGAGAGTCATCACAAGACCTCCAAGGGACAGGCATTCAGTTTCAACAAGAGCCTGGTAGCAAGGTAAGATCAAGCCAATGATAGCTGCTTTTCAAAAGGGGTGTGTACCGGCAGCCAAGACAGACTGCTGCACAGCTTTCAACACAACCTGCTAGATTTAGCCTCAAAGGATGCTGATTTGCAAGTTAGCATATACAAAGGGGCAAGGAGAATAATCCCCAAGTGAGGCACACGCTGTCTCCAATACTCAGAGTATTGCTTTTTGTGTGGGAGCTAAAGAGATGGAAGTTACTGTTGAGTGCATAGGGGATTGAGGATCATGTGTCTGCCCCAATAGTCCTAAATGGCTTTTACATGGGAAGTAGGCCTTCAGTTTTGTTGGGGTGTTATCAGCCACCCTTGCTGGTGATGATAGCGCAGTCAGCGCTTTTGAGACCGAGGCTTCTGCCGTGCTGACCAACACGACATCACCTACAGAGTGAAAGCTGTGATGTCAGAGGGGAGGGGCACTCACTTTAAATCCTAACCCACCCACCACTGGCAAATGGCAGGGGAGCTTACCTACCCACAAAGAAGCACTACAGTCTACACACACCTCTTTCCAATTAGGAGAATCCTCCTTGAAACTACGGGATAGGGAAGTCTAAGCATAATACACATCAATTCCTACCACACATTCAGATGTAGAGCAATAGTATACTGAACTGACCCAACGAGCTCTACCCACAAGGTCCTGTTAGCTTCTTTCTTCATCGCACAAAGCTTGGCCAAACCCCATCAGTTGAATTCTGATACCACCTACTCCCACAAGACTGGGTAGGATGATGACTTGGGTGGCTGTAACCAACAAAGCCAAAAGTTTAAGATCCTCCTTGCTCCAAAGTTCGCTAGAATACCTGGACAGGTCTGTATGGCCTGCAGTCCCTCTGGCGACAGGGAGATCTCAATCTGACCTCTAAAACAGATGGGGACGAAGTAGAGGTGCAGAGATGGTCAGGGGCACAGAGAGAGGGAGTGTGCCGTACCAGTGAACAAGCACATTCACCTTACATTTCGAGTGGCACGGTGGCTGCTCCTGGCTCAACCAAACTTCCAGTGTTTTCAGTCCACTTGAACGAAGCCTTTTATCAGGTGGAAAGGTCATTACTGACACCATCTATTTCAGCAGTGTCAGCCACTCTGTTTTCCAGCTGGGGCCATGGAGTTTGCACATTTTGGCCAATTTAGGCATGACTTTCTCAGCAGCAACTTTAAAGCATATGACTTAACTGTGGGCATTTGTTGCTCCACTGTCATTATAACATCTCATTCGGCTTTAACAGAAGGGCCAGGGAGAATTTTCCAGGGCAGTGGAGCAAGAATCTACCTCAAACTTGTTCGGGTTTCTCAGTCTCTAGTGGGTCACCTTCAACAGCATTGGAAAGCTGACGTGGGCAGTAAGAGCCTAAATACTAGACACTGTCTTGGCAGTGTTCTCCCACAGGTGTGTGTCTATCTTGGGGAATTCTCCCTGAGTGGGCCAAACCTCCCTTATAGCAGCCAGGACTCATTGCAAAAAATACTGAGCCTTTTATTGTCATCTCCCAGTGGACCTGAAGTTGACATGACAGATAGGGTTGGGGAAACTGAGTGGAAGGCTGCCCAGCTATTAGCATTCTGCTTTAACAAGTCCCAACTCCTCATCTCCCAAGAGAACCAGCCAATGTCCTAACAATCTGCCTGCTTTCTGCCCATGGTGGTTGTGAATTTCCCTCCAACTGTTTGAGAAAAATCAGAAGCATTTGCCCACCAAACTGGTGAGGATGTCCTGCTGCCCACAGAAGAGTCAGCAATAACCAGGGCAGTGTTTGGCAGCTGTGTACAAAAACCTACTTTTCCTGGTAGTCTGCAATCATCTCCCAGTTTCTCCTCATTATCAAGCAATAAAGTGGAGGACCACTTATTGCCACGTTGATGATTTGGTCAACATGTCAGCTACAGATCTCCATAGATTTTCCTCAAATCTTCTCAATCAACCCATGAGGCTTTCATCCTCCCCTGTGAGAAAACCACATCCTTGCCAGCTTCTCATCATCATAACCAAAACTGTCAAGAACTGTGATGGGTCTGCGATTTTACCCTATTTGTGAGCTAACTGTCAAGAGCTGTGATGGGTCTGCGATTTTACCCTATTTGTGAGCTAACAAATGAACAGCCACAGTTTCACGGATATGGCAGAAGGCTACAGACTCCTGAGACAAAGATAAAAGGACTCTGTTACCCATAGTAGTTGCAGTAGCCAGAGTACCAGCATTTTCTTGCTCCAGTTCCCTGAGCCCCAGTTCCCACAGGATGACATAAAGAGGGCCAGGCAACACCTATGCATACAATGGGTTATGTTACAGGAGAGGAACACTGAGCTTAGGAAGCTGAATCTTTTATGATGGTCAGTGAGCATGCCTGCCCCAACCTCTGGCAGGAGAAACTATCACTATCTTCTATACAAACATCCTTAAAAAATGTTCATGAATTAAAAGAGTAAATACTCTTAAAAAATAAATTTTCCCAAATGCATCTATAGATGCAATACAATCCCAATAATAATCCCAGCAAACTTTTATGTGGAAATTGCCAAGATGATTTTAATATTTACATAGAAATGCA